GCGAAAGGGAAGAAAGGAGCACTCGGGCCCAGCGTCCTTTCTCTGGGGGAAGCAGTGGGGACCGGCTTTTGTAACCCAGGCTCCGCTTGTTTCCTGGGGGACAGCGGGTGGAGAGGGCCTGTGTGCCGGATCGCCTTACTGGTGCTCCCCCGGAACCTTCCAGAGGGGTGGATTGTGTTTCTGGGAGAAGACTGCAGTCCGGCCAGGCGTTACATTAGGTTTGTTATCCCCGGCTTTTCGCAGGAATGGCCACCCTGTTGGGCCTGTGGTGGTGTCTGTGCGTCTTCTCCCACAATTCCTGCCTTCGGATCCCATGTCCCCAGGGTAACGGAGGGGTGCGGTGAGAAGTCAGGCTGTTCCTCGGCCCCTGCAGCTCTGTGATCCGGTGCGGCAGGACAGCTTTCCTCAGTCTGTGATATTTATTTATTTATTTATAATATATGTTATTGATTTTTTTTAAAGAGAGGAAGGGAGAGGGATAGAGAGTTAGACACATCGATTCAGCTGCCTCCTGCACACCTCCTACTGAGGATGTGCCTGCAACCAAGGCACATGCCCTTGACCGGAATCGAACCTGGGACCCTTCAGTCCACAGGTCGACACTTTATCCACTGAGCCATGCCGTTAGGGCTCAACCTGTGATGTTTATTGGTCACAGTTCTCTCAGCAGCGGGAGCGGACCATGCCCACCCGTGGCCGGCTGCAGAGGGAAGCGGGCTTCTCGCAGTGCCATGAGGAAAGGAATGTTCTGGGCTCGCACAGAGAATGAGTGGTGTTTATTTGCGTGGAATTAAACCCCTACGTTTCCAAGGTTCCGTCTCCCTCCGTCCCGCCAAGGCGGAGGTCCAGCTGGGTCTTCAGCAGCGAGGTGTCCAGCCGTGGCCCAGCGTCTCCGCTCTGCATTCGCACAGCCCCGTCCACAGCAGGCCGCTGAGCTTGGCTCTCGGGGAGAAGGCCAGAAAGGGCTGATTCCAATGGAACCCTGACGTTTGGGGGACAGTGACCTGAACCGGTGCCAGCGAGCTCGGTGCACATTCCTGATAACCTACCGTTAAGTCTCTGCCTCCTTCCCGGGCACCGGTCTCACAGAACCAGTTACAGAGGCCACGGGGCTGCAGACAGCGCACTGCCCAGAGGGAGGGCTATTAGCTCTGAGCCGGGCCAGACCCCCAGGTGCGGCCTGGAGACCCCCAACACGTGGGGGCCTTCTTGCGAGGCCGGCCAAAGGGACCGGAAGCGTAACCCATAATTGTGGGACGGAGGCCACAGGGAGCCATGAGGGAATGCCCCATGCGTGCTCCTCTCGGATGTGGAAGGCTGTTCCCTGAGTCCGCCAGTGTGTGAAGCAGTGTCCCTCCGCTGCTGTGCAGCGTCCTTGTTTTTTAATTTTATTTTTTGTCTTCTCAACATCAGGAGCAGTCCATCGCGCGTGGCTTCTAGGGCACGTGGCTGTGGAGAGAACATGGCGAGTGCGAGGCGGCGGAGTCCGGAGGGAAGGGTTAGGAACCGGCAGCTGTTCCTGCGGCGGACCAGCTGGTTAATGTTAACACCAGGGCAGGAGCAGAGGGGGGACAGGATACTGTAAGCATGGCCACTGGCAGGTTCTCCAGGAAGCTGTGACTTCAATTCTCAGGGAGCCACGGCCTTTCCCTACCAATCACTGCGGGGAGGGGCCAGCCAAGAGGCGCTCACTCCTCAGTCCGACCTGGGGACAAAGGTCATTGGCTGGAGGAGTGGAGCCAACGCAAGCCGCCACCCCCCCCACACACACACACACACATCTCCCTTTCCTTTGGCTTCCCTCCTGCTCCCCTGTGCTCCCTCTGTAGCCACGTGGCCACGGCCACGCAGGACCCACACGCAGTGGCCTGCAGCTGGGAGCACAGCTCAGCTCACTGGATGCTCGCTGGTCTGTGTCAGTGCGATGTGGGGCGGAGGCTCTGGGCAGCCGCGTAAACCCTAGTCCTGCTGACAGCAAAATGGGCTGAGCGGAGGGAGACGGGACCTCGGAGACGCAGGGTTTAATCCCACAGATAGAAGGCTTTCTGTGATGCCTCGTTCTCCTGTGGGAGCCTCAGGAAATCCCTTTCCTCGTGCCAAGAAGCCCGCTTTACCAGCCACAGGTGGGCACCGGGTATCCTACCATTAACAGGGATGGACAGGAGACACTGGTCACCAGGGACAGTTCTGTGGTCTCACATGGAGTGAAGACACATGTGCTAACAGTGTGTTTGCCGTGGTGAGGGGATCGGCTTGAATCTATCTGGAACGCAGACACACTGCTACAAGAACCTATCCATAACTCACACAGAGTGCCAGGAGAATGCAACCCAGCCTAAATGCGCTCTGGTGGACGAAGGCAGACAAAAACTAAAACGTGGAATTGCCAGAGAGCCTTGAAAAAACCAACCGGCCATCTTGGTTTCTTACACCCCAACTGTTCTTGCAAATCACAGCCATGGTTCACCCACTCAGTGTGTGGCTCAGTGGATAGAGCGTCGGCCTGCGGCCTGAGGGGTCCCAGGTTCGATTCCGATCAAGGGCATGTACCTTGGTTGCAGGCACGTCCCCAGTGGGGAGTGGGAGGGGTGTGCAGGAGGCAGCTGATTGATGTTTCTCTCTCATCGACGTTTCTAACTCTGTATCCCCCTCCCTTCCTCTCTGTAAAAAATCAATAAAATATATATTAAAAAAAAAAAAGTCAGACCTTATGGTTTCAGTGCTTCTGGGGCCCCCTCCCACTTCTGTGGGTTTTATGTCCAGAAGCCCCACCTTGGCTTCAGGCAGGGAGGGGAAATTAACCCTTTCTGAAACATCCAGTGTGGTTGCCACAACAAAGGCTCACTGTGTAAGTAAGGGAAACTACCAGTCTTATCTGACTAGGAGGAATGGCATTTAGTCAACTCCAGCCTCTTGAACTTTCTTGTCTCTTGTAAGGAGATTTAAAAAAGAAAGAAAGAAAAGGCTTAAGAATCGCTTCTGAAGGTCGAAGCACAGGACTCAGGCCTACTAAAAAAAAAGTGATTTAATTATATGATCAGAGGACACCTCCCTCTCTCTACACTTTACCACATCAACAGAGCTCCAGTACAGAACATCAGGGATTCCACCTGAGAGAGCCAGCTGCAAAACAGACTCTATTTAAGGAGTGCTTAGTGTGCTTAGGAAAAGCAAAGACAATAGGGATGCATCAAAAAACAAGGAAACTGCCGAAGCCGGTTTGGCTCAGTGGTAGAGCGTCGGTCTGCAGACTGAAAGGTCCCAGGTTCGATTCCGGTCAGGGGTATGTATGTTGGTTGCGGGCACATCCCTGGGGGGGGGGGGGGGGGTTTGCAAGAGGCAGCTGGTCGATGTTCCTGATCGGTGTTTCTAGCTCTCTCTCTCCCTTCCTCCTCTCCATGAAATATCAATAAAATATATTTAAAAAAAAAAGAAAAGGAAACTATGTCCTGGCTGGTTTTGCTCAGTGGATAGAGCGTCGGCCTTCAGACTGCAGTTCCAGGTTGTATTCCAGCCAAGAGCACATGCCAGGATTGCGGGCTTTATCCCCCAGTGGCAGGTGTGCAGGAGGCAGCCAATCGATGATTCTCTCTCCTCATTGCTGTTTCTCTTTCCCTCTCCCTTCCTTTCAGAAATTAATAAAAATATATTAAATTTAAAAAAAGAAAGTTGGAAGAAGCCTCTAGCTATAGCAAATAATCACAGAAAATAGCAACTGTTTGATAGCAAACAGGTAAAACATTCATAGTAGAAGTCAGAACAGTGGTTACCTCTGGGGGGCACGTTTTAAGTGGGAAGGAGCAGGTAGAAACCTGGGACTATAGAAATATCTTATATCTTGATCTGGAAGCTGATTATATATGTATATATACATAAAAGTTCACCCAGCTACCCTCTTTTTTTTAATATTTTTATTGATTCCAGAAAGGAAGGGAGAGGGAGAGATAGAAACATCAGTGATGAGAGAATCATTGACCAGCTGCCTTCTGCAAGACCCCTATTGGGGATCGAGCCCACAGCCCCGGCATGCGATTTGCAACTGCAGATGTTTCCTGTGGTATAATTCCTCCGGCAGTTCATTGAACTGCTTTGCGTATGCTTAAAACTGAAATTAAAAGCTTCCGGTCTTTTCCGTCCTCGGCCTGCCCTTGGTCCTGCTTGCATAGTCTCTTCCCTAGCAACTACTTGAATGTCCCAACACCTGTACGGCTGAAGTTTATCTCAAGGGACGCCTTCAACACCCCAGATCCTTTCCTGGGACCTGCTTGGGACAGTGCCCTTGACCAGAATTGAATCTGGGACCCTTCAGTCCACAGGCCGAAGCTCTATCCACTGAGCCAAACTGGCCGAGGGCCACCCAGCTACCCTCTTAAAACCTGTGTTTAATTATGTGTGAGTTATAGCTCAGAAAAAAAGCAAGGAAGATGAAGGAATGAAGAAGAGAGAGGAAATGAAGGCGAGAAGAGATGAAGTAAGGAATGAAGAGAGGGAGGGAAGTAAGTAAGAGAAATGAACATGATCCGGGTGGGCATGTGCTGTCCTCTGCATCTTAAAAGTTGGGAACCTCCATGCTGGCCCACGTGCTCAGTGCCCCGGAGCCGGAGTGTGACCCCAGCAGAGGCTGAACCCACGTGTGATCGATGCCTTCGTATTTCCACCGATTAGCTCAGAGTCTCCTCGTCCTAGAAAGGTGACCCGAGACTGGCCTTCCGCCCTCAACTGACTCTTCCTCCGGAGAAGGAGGCCCATCTCATCCCCCCCGACCTCCGGTGGGCATGGGCCGAGCGGGCCGGAGAGGGTAGAGGTCCGCCCGGTCATTTTATTTACTTATTTATTTAAATACATTTTATTTTTTTTACAGATAGGGAGAGAAATAGAGAGTTTAAAACATCGATGAGAGATAATCATCAATCAGCCGCCTCTTGCACAACCCCCCCCCCCCCACCGGGGATGTGCCCGCAACCAAGGTACATGCCCTTGACCAGAATCGAACCCGGGACCTTTCAGCCCACAGGCCGATGCTCTATCCACTGAGCCACACCGGTTTCAGCTCGCCCGTTCACTTTAGACTCCCCCCGGGGCTGAGCGCCGGCCGCAGGCACATTTATAAGCGGAATCATAACCGGAAGTCCGGTCACAGCCGGCCTTCGGACGTGCTCTCCGACCACGCGGGCCGCGCGCGGCGCTGCTCCCGCGGAGGGAACCTGAGGGGCTGGACGGGAGCCCGGCCGCGGCAGCGCTGCTCCCCGAAAACCCCGCGCTCCGGAGGCCCCGGGAGAAGCTGGCAACCTCCCGGGCCACGTCCGGGAAAACAGGTGCGGGGCCCGCCCCTTCCGACCGCGCCCGCCCACCTGCGCGCGCAGCCCCACCCCCTGCGCCGCGCGGCGCCCGCGGCGAGGGCCCCTGGGATTTATAGGGGGTTATTTTGGTCCCGCGCCGTGATTGGCCGACCGCAAGTGACGACACGCTCGCGCGCCGCGGGGCGGGGCCACATCCGGGGGGCGGAGGAACGCTTCCGGCGGCCGCGCTGGTGAGTGGCGCTGCGGCCTAGGAGGCCGAGACCCGAGGCCCCCGCCGGTCCTAGGGCTGCCGTGGGCCCTGCGTGCCCGCTCTCCAGCCTGCCGCTGGGTCATGTCTCCTGAAGAGCCTGGGTGGGCCGGGGAGGGTGGCTGAGAACCGAACACCTGTGGTTCTGGGAGGCGGTTGCTGGGGGTGTGACTCTTCTCACGAGCCCCGTGGCGGAAACGCGGCCTCGCCCGATGCCAGCCCGGAGCTGCACTTCCGGCCCCGGGGGCGCGGTCAGCTCCGTGCGCAGACCGGTCTCTCTGCCCCCTGACCTCGCCCGGAGCTGAGGAGCTGTGTAGCCTTCCTGTTTCTGCTGCAGACAGCTGCCAGGCCTCCCTCTTCCTCCAGTGCGGCTCTCCTCCCTCCTCCGAAGCGGAGAACAAAGCCCTGTAGACATCCCAGAGGGATCCCCTTTCCACCGCCATCCCACGCGGCGCGGTGCCAGGCCCGCTTCCCCGCGTGCTGGCCGTCCATCGCAGGCGGGCGGCGTTACCGCGGAGTCTCAGGGTTCTTCAGTTTCTTTTGGTGGCAAACTGGTTTTGAGCTTCTTTGGTGAAAGTGACTGAATAAGTACCAAGTGTGATTTCGAAATACCGGGAATCTTGGTCAGACTTAAACAGATAAGCAAAAAAAAAAAGGACCCTTAAATCCATCGCTCCCAATCGAATGATAGTTTAGCTCGAAAGGAATTTTGTTAGAGTTCTGTTTCCTCCTCAGCATCACAAATATTACCTATGGTTGCAGAGCCCTTCACGAAGGCCTAGATTTTCTGAGCTCACAGCCTTGAAGGGCATTTGCAGTTGTATGTAGAAAGAACATGACTTAGTCTCTGTTGAACATGAACAACGTCAGTAAGAATCGCCATTTATTAAGTGTTTTTAATGTGCCAAGCATTGTAAATGCTTAGGTGTTTCATTTAGTCCTTACAAAATCTGTGATACTACCCTGTTTCCCCGAAAATAAGACAGTGTCTTATATTAGTTTTTGCTCCCAAAGATGTGCTAGGTCTTATTTTCAGGGGATGTCTTATTTTTCCATGAAGAATACGGTACACATTTGTTAAATGAAAATAAAGGAAATTTATTACCTGTATAAGGTACGGTAGTACGGTAGTTGTCAACACAAACCAGACAAACTGTGAATCCTATAGTATCAAGAATTTACTCATTTATTCAATGACAATCATGTCATCATCTTCTGGAACATCATCATAACAATCCAATTCCTGAATTTCCTGGTGAATTTCTTGTGACTCCATTTCTTTCAGAATCAGTGGACCAAATCTCATGTTTAGCCTGGGGGGGGGGGGGCTTATTTTCGGGGGATGCCTTATATTTCACTCAGAAGGAAACCTGTAAATAGATCTTATTTTCGGAGGATGTCTTATTTTCGGGGAAACATAGTATTATTATGCCCATTTTACAGAAAAGGACATTAAGGCTCAAAGAGATGGAATAACTTTTTGTTTGTATGAGGCAATGTCAGGATTCATAATCCAAGATTGTCTGACTCTGACATTTGTGCCCTTAACTACTAAGCTATGTAGAGTTTCTTTTCTGCAGTCTTACGTAAGTGGAAATTCAGCCTTAGACTGGAACAAAAGGAGGAGAGATCAGTCAATAAGTGTTATATATCTCCAGCAGCTGGCTTTAAAAAAGAGGATTGCTACTAAGGGAAAGTAATGGTGCCAGGGTCTTAACAGTCTCCACTTGCCCCGAACAACAGGCCATATTAAGCCTGCAGGACAAAGCCTCTGGAGAGATTTTTGATTCTGCTGTGCTCGTTGGTATGGAAACTGGACTGTGTACAAAGTGGCCTCGCATAATCCCCTTGGTTGGTTAGGAACCAGGAAGCAAACTGGCCCTAAGAATGGCTTTCGAACATTTTTCTACCCTTTGCCGCAGAGAGCTACCAGAACTATTTGATGACGGTTCCAAATCCATGAATGTAGACACTGCAGCGGGGCTGGCCGGAGCCAGGCAGGCCTCGGTGCAGTCTGCATTGAATGCTGTGAGAGTCAAAACTCTCCTGAACCTCATTTTCTTTATTGTAACCTACTTTGCTGTAAGGATTACGTGAGATTCATGAAGTTCCTGGATTAGTTTGTGTTGTTTATAAATATTTGAAAATGTTAGTTCTCCTTTTTTGCCCCTTCTCCTGAATGTTTAAGGAAAGTACTAGCTGTGATGACTGTACCTTTATTGTTCCTTTTATAGTGCCACGTACTGTACTGAATTTCACTAAGATAGTAATTTACATTAAGATGGTTTATTACCATTTATAACTTGAAATGTCCTTATTGACACTTCAGCAACATCGTTTCCAAATACCAGCTTCAGCTTTGGTTGTGTCTGTCATGCATTTAACAAATAGGTACTGAAAATATATTAGGTATAGTACATGGGCTATTCTTTTTTTTTAATTTCTTTATTGGTTGTGGTATCACATAATTGTCCTCATCCCCCTGTTCCCATCCCAAACCCCTCCCCACGTATGCCCCCACCCTTCTGTTGTCCGTGACCACTGGTGAGGCTTTATGCGTGTATAGGCTATTTAATAGAACTTTCTGAAGACATTTCAGCAAAATAGCCCAGTTCACAAGCAGGCATTAGAGAAATAAACTGTACTTTTAAGTAATAATAACGTTCTTTCTTACTGGTCCCAAGCTCTAACTCTCACCATAATTTAAAAAAAAAAAAAAAAGTTTTATTGATTTCAGAGAGAGGAAGGGAGAGGGGGAGAGAGAGAGAAACATCAATGATGGGAATCATTGATTAGCTGCCTCCTGAACACCTCTCACTGGGGATCAAGCCCAAAATCCAGGCATGTGCCCTGACAGAGAATTGAATCATGATCTGGTTCATAGGTCAACGCTCAGCCATTGAGCCACACCAATGGCTGAGCATTGACCTATAATTCTGGCCATAATTCTTAATGAAAATAATTTAGTCTAGCAAGACACACATTCCCAAATAAGGAAGACAAACACAAAATGCCAAGAATGGAAGTAACATAAAAAATTAAACATGTTTCTTTTAAAATATAATTTAGGATACGTTTTTCCCTTTAAAAGTCTCTAATTTTAGCCGAAGCCGGTTTGGCTCAGTGGTAGAGCGTCGGTCTGCGGACTGAAAGGTCCCAGGTTCGATTCCGGTCAGGGGCATGTACCTTGGTTGCAGGCACATCCCCGGTAGGGGGTGTGCAAGAGGCAGCTGGTCGATGTTTCTCTCTCATCGATGTTTCTAGCTCTATCTCTCTCCCTTTCTCTCTGTTAAAAATCAATAAAATACAGTTTTTAAAAAAGTCTCTAATTTTATTAATCTTGCATAATCAGTTAAGTTTGTGTTCATCTCTGTTAGTCAATTAAAGGGAGACCTGTAAGTCCTCTTTTCCAGTATAAAGTTATAAAATGTGCCATGTGTGTGCTGCACATTGTAGCAGCTATACAGTGAATATTATTACAAAAATGAAAACTGCAAGAAATGAACCTTTCTTCCACTGGCCTGGAGCTGCCTCCTTTGGGAAGCCAGAGTGAGGCCAACACAGGGAGAAGCAGAGAGATGTGAGAGCGAGTGGCATACTTAAGCCCCTAGATCCAGCTTTACCTGAAGCCGATAAGTTGAATTTTTCACCTTTTTAAGTCAGCAGATTTCCTGTCCATTTAAGCCTCTTGGGATTGTGTCTTTTGTCTTTTGCAACTTAAGAGGTCCTGCTACTCTGGCCTTGAACCACCCCTGCATTCCTGTCTGCCTTGCTTTAGACACAGGGAACTGCCATCCCCCCAAACACCCAATGTGCCCTGTGACTTCTGCTGGGCTCTGCCAGGGAGGGACTCACTTTTTCCCTTTGGCACTTGCTCGACCCTCAAAAGTTCAGTTGGAATGCCAGTTCCTCCATAAAACCTTCCCCAGCTCCTCTCAGGGAGAAGAGAAAAAAAAATGAAAACTTAGCAAGTCACTACATATCCAGACATATTTTAAGTAAAATGAGTTTCCAGAAACTTGCAAAATATTAAGTTTACCTAAATAGTTACAATTTAAGGGGAGCTATTTTTCCCTAATCCCAAAGTGAATAGTAAATAGATGAGGCTCTGCTGGCAACTGCCTGGGAGTTTATAATGGCTGGTTCAAGGCCCTAGCCCAGGGGTCCTCAAACTTTTTAAAGTGGGGGCCAGATCACGGTCCCTCAGAGAGCTGGAGGGCCGGACTATATGAACTAATTCCTACTGTAACACCTCGGCTGCGCTCACTGCCCAAAAAACCTGGCGGGCCGGATCAGACTCCTCTGCGGGCCGTAGTTTGAAGACGCCTGCTAGCCAGTGAGCCTGCCATTCAGAATGCCACCGTCACTAAAGGGGTGCATCTATATATATAAAAGGCTATAATAATATGCTAAGTGTCCCTCTGCCCTTCTGAATGGTTGCTGTGACGTACACAGACCACTAGGGGGCAGACGCTCAACGCAGGAGCTGCTGAGCTGCAATGACTTGGCAGTGGCGGTTCTCAGGTGACGTATCCCAAAACCAGAGAGGAGGGAGCAGCACGATTCCACTTGTGGCCATGGGTTATGTTGTTGCTGGGGCACTGTCAGCCCGAATCTGGTTCACTGCACACTTGCTTTTGTGATCCACACCCTGTAGGACAGCAACTTTGCAGAGTGCCCTCTTGCACTCTGACCCCCGGGGGGATGTCAGAGAGCCGGTTTTGGCCCGATCCTCGCAGGCCAGGTCCAGAGACTCCACCTGCCAGAGGGACCCCACTCACTTGACAGACGCCTTTTGAGCCACAGCGCCACCCAGGTGCGGCCGGCCAGGGAGGGATCGCAGGAGGTTGGCTCCAGGGCATGTTTGGCCCAGCTCGTCCAGTCCCACCCCACTGACCACCTAATGAATTTCCTTACAATGTGCACGGATCCGTCACCGGTTCCACCATAAACACCCTCGGCAAGACGAAGGCTGGGTGTTTGTGCCAAAAGAAATGCACACGTGGAAGGAACACCTGACAGTCACTTCAGAGGTGCGTCTGAGCAGAGGGAGGCCCTAGATAACTGATTCTTCAAAGACTGCCACTCCGAGGCCTCCGGAATGGGACACGGAGGTTCCCTGCCTTGGCTGTGCCTTGCATTACGGAATCTTAGTTATTTCCTTGACGGCGAAGCTAAGGGATCACATCACATTGGGTGGATCTGGGCAGGATGGTTCATGATAGTGGACTCTTTAGCAGGAATCCTAAAAATGTGGGAAATGCAACATAACCTCTTCTGTGGCTAAAACCAGCAATTGTTATGGACACACACTCAGTTTTTGGTTCCAAGGCTCACATCAAAGGACAGAGGTCAGTGGCTGACATATTGTGGTGGTGTTGTGGGACTCTTGGCTAAAGGGAGATAGAGAGCTAGGTATGTACATACTAAAATGTACGCATACATGACAGATAGGGCAGCTTCACTGGCTGCATGGGAAGCCTGGTAGGCCCTGGCCGGTGTGGCTCCGGTGTTTGGGTATCATCCTGTGCACTGAAAGGCTGGCGGTTCGATCCCCAGCAGGGGGCATGCAGGAGGCAACCAATGATGTTTCACTCTTTGGCATCAATGTTTCTCCTCCTCTTCCTCTGTTTCTTTTTCTTTTTTTTTAATGTATTTCATTGATTTTTTTACAGAAAGGAAAGGAGAAGGATAGAGAGCTAGAAACATCGATGTGAGAGAAACATCGACCAGCTGCCTCCTGCACACCCCCTACTGGGGATGTGTCCGCAACCAAGATACATGCCCTTGTCTGGAATCGAATCCAGGACCTTTCAGTCTGCAGGCCGACACTCAATCCCCTGAGCCAAACCGGTTTCAGCTCCTCTGTCTCTTAGTAAAATAAAAGTAAAAACCTGTTAGGAAGGAACTGGTTCACACAACTAGGAGTAGGTGGTCGAGCTGGGCAGACCTTAAACCTCTGGGGTTGTCCAGAGGATCCCCAGGCATTGTCCAAGGACTAGGAGCTTCTCAGCGGAGCCAGTGGCATTCATCCTAGACCGGCCAGATGACAGCTCCCTGGCCAGTGGAAGTGTTCCTATCAGAGGATTTATTCAGGAAGATATTTCAAACCCGGTATTCAGAACTGAAATTTCTGGTGGTAAGGTGAACAATCTTAAATTGAAAACAACCTCACTACAAGACACCTAAAAATGCTGGATAAAATATATCAAACTTCAAATACCTATAGGAACTCTGTAACCTCTCATAGGGGAACAGATTATTTTCATTTGGGGATTTTAGGAAATCCTACCTTATATCTTCAAACAGTTTGTCAGTGAAAAGTGAGAATTTTTTAAAAAGAATATACATATATTTTTATTACAATGAATATTCTAGAAATTCCAGTCTGCTCTAGGAAAGTACTTACAAAGATCAAAGCCAAGTTCGAACAGGAAATTCTCGGGAGTAATAGTTCCCTGTGGAAGGCATCTGGCAGTGTTCTCCAGAGGTTTGTGATCCCCTCCTCTCTCTGGCCAACTTCTCCTGGCCCTGGAGCAACAGCCCGTCTTAGGCCCTTCAAGCTGCTCTAACAAAGTACCACAGACTGGGCGACTGTAAACAACAGGAATTTACTTCTCCCGGTTCTGGAGTCTGGAATCCAAGGTCAGGGCCAGCTCAGCTGCATTGTGGTAAGAGCTCTCTCTGCTCCAAGCTGGCCCCGTCCCACTGTGTCCTCACATGGTGGCCTGTATGTCCCCCTCCTTCCTGGCACACCTGGAGAGCCCACATCTATGGCCTGCTCATCTCGGGGTTTATTTCAACATAGAATCTCAGGGGGGACACACTCAGACCATAGCACAGCCCAGATGTCACCTTCACCAGGTCTTCACCTCTCAGAGGTCGGCCATTCCTCATGTGCTTCTGGGGCACAGAGCGTGCTGTTCCTCCCCGCTCTGCCTCCATCACCTTCCATTTAACCGCACGTTCCTGGTCGATGGCCTTCAATGGCCGGGAACAGCCAGAGGCAGGGGCACATCTTGCTCATCCCCAGACACCCTTGAACTGTACTGGCACATGCTTGACTCAGTGGTTTCAGTTGTTAACATCAACAGGATTCTGTTTACTGGCTGCTTATCCTCTGCCAGGCCATTCGCTAAATA